AGATCTGTTCCCTTTTCTCTCTTCTCCCTGCTATGGCCATGGCCTAGGCCCTAATTATTGTTTCTAGCCTAAGTCTCAGTGCCATAAGCTTATGAAGAACTTAGAGATCAGAGGGAGTCACCTGGCAATGGATAAGGGCAAAAGTTCTTCCAAGGAATAGAGGCAGGTATCATAGGGACTCATAAGTTTTCCATAGTTGGACACTGGGCAGCAGACAAATGGGCAGTCAAGGTCTGGGCATGTATGTCTCCTGCAGACATGCCTGGGAAAGCCCACAGGGTCTCCCCACAAGGAGTAAAGGGAAGGATGCCCTGCCTCTCCTTAACTGTGGAATCTCAGAAGTTAGAAGGCTGCAGAGATAAGTAACAAAATGGGCATTCAGAGGCTGCCTAATTTGCCTCACAGGAGAACTGGCAGTATGCATAATCAATGCCAGAACCAGGCTGGGTAAGCTACCATATGTTGTAGTTAGAACATGGGCACTGAAACAAGATAGACTGGATTCAAATCTCCCCTCTGCCACTTATTAGCTGTGTGGCATGTTACTTAAACTACTCAGTGCCTCAGTTTTTCACAGATTATTCCCTCTCTTCAAAGGTCTTCCCAGAAACCATGAGTCCTGGGCTTGTCCTAAGAGGGAAGGGTGACTGGAAATTCCTTTGAATTGGATGGAACTAGATTTTAAAGCAGAAATGATTGCAAAGTTATTTTGACTAGACTGAGATGTCAGCAAGTCCCTCTTTACTCAGTGGAATGGACAGACTAGAAAATGAAAGGTTGGTAGAGGTTACTAAGGAAAAAACAATCCTAAGTCTATGCCTTCCTGAGTTTCTATTCCTCAGTCCAACTCCCTACATTTCAAGCGCTGATAGGGAATGGATGGAACCTAGGAAACTCAGAGACCCCATCAATTATTACAAACGAGAAGTACGAGAAAACACTTCCTCCTAATGAGCTGACACCAAAGATCTGGGGCACTGCTTATACATGAATATTACCAAAATAAGTGAGCCTAA